ATCATCATCATCATCATCATCATCATCATCATCATCATCATCATCATTTTTTCATCATTCATCATTCATCGTTCATCATCCACTTGGGTGGTTGTTTCTCTTTTTCCGCCCCTCCAACGTTCCACCGCCTGCCTCAGGTCCCCGAAGCGGTCACGCAGCACTTCCGCACCTCGACCGGACAGGGGTTGAGGTGCCAGAATGGGCTTTAAGCGGACAGGTGGCTGGATGGTTCCCACTGTTTGGGGTGTGAAAACACCCTGCTTTCCTGTTGCCCCAGCCCATTCCATGGGGTCGAAGGCCTCTTCCGGACCAGGCACTTGGTCTGTTTAGCTGCTTTGCAACTTTTCGGGCCTGCAGGGAGTCGAGGTTCGAACTTTTCAGGTGACTTGGAGGTTGGAATTCCGGGAGATCCAACGTCCCACTCAGTTCCTTTTTTACACGTTCCGAGGCGGAGTAGATGTGGATGATCTATAGCAGGACCTTCCAAGTCCGGTGGTTTTTTGGACACCCCTTAACCACTTAGAGGCTGTCTATAGACACCTCTTGGAAGGTCTTTTGAGGATCAAACTGTTGGGCCCCCCAAATCTAAAGATGAGCGGGGCCCGGACGTGACGTAGTCAAGGTCACGGTCATGTCAAGGTCTGATGATGCCACACCGGTGTCGTCGTAGTTTCCGGATGAAGAGGGTGATAACCTTTGTCATACCAGGGTGATACCGCAAAAGAGTGAGACGCAGGATAACCTTTTGGGGGGCTCAAGGCGTTTGCTTCCTGCCTCTCAGCTGTGCCATACCGCCCCACCTGCCCCACCGCCACGTGCAGCGATCGCCGAACCGGAGCGTCGCGCCTGAGGGGATCAAATGGCACGCCGGGGCGGCATCGCCCGAAAGGAGAGTCCAGTGGGCGCTCGATAGGGACTCGAGTGGGTTCGATGTATGGTGGAAAGAAGGTGGGTTTCGAGTGGATCTGGGAAACTGACAAAGTCAAACACGGTTGCTTGCATGTGGAAGCTTCAGTTGATTGATTGGAGACTTGAATCAGGTTTCCTTTTGGAGGGGGCTAAATGAGTTTCAAACAGGTCTTGCCGGTCTTGCTGCTTTCCTCTATTTTCAGATTGTTGGATGAGAGTTGTGCTTCAAGGAGGCAGCTGTGGCCAGTTATTCATGAGCGGACAGCACGCGAAGTGCTAGCGAAAGCATCCTCAAACCAGGTCAGGAGAGCGACATTGAGACCTATAGACCTAATGAGACCTATAGCTCAGCTTAGTTGGAGCCTGCCTCAAAGCTCAGTCAGTCTGCTGGAGAACCTTGGCCGGCCCACTGTACCAACCTCTCAGCACAGGAGTGGGAAAAGACGTTGGTGAACTACAAGAAGCAGTTCCCAGAAGAGGTGCCAACGGTCGAAGGAAACCAACACGGCCAGGCGTTTGACCAAAAGGGCTGACCGAACGCCCCAACCTACTGGTGTCTCGGCTGATTCACTTTCGCTGGGACACCGAGTCCGACCGAGTCCTCCAGCGGTTCCTTTTACATCCAGGTCCTTTCTTGACTACCAGGGCCTTCTTCCTTTTTTTTCACTTCAACAGCCCGACCTTTCAACAGCTTGATTCTTAGTTCGAAGGACCACCTAGTGGACCACCTCACCCTGATCGTCTTGCCCAGTTCCAAGGATCTATATACCAGGACCATGCTCGCTGTTTGGGTGTCCAACGGATATCCCTTAAGTGGTGTAGCTTGGGTCTGTCCGTTTTTTAACCAACAGCAAACAAGCAAATCACTATTATTGAACAAGGCCTGCAACCTAACCATCACCATCCACTGTTGCAGGTCATAGGATAGATTCAAGGTGTAGCTATATATTCCATTGGAGACCTTTGGGATGGTCAGGACCCCTGCAGCGCCGGCAGTATCTGCCGAAGCATCGCAGGGGCGGATCCTGGAAGACATGATCGCCGGACGCCTGCCCGTGGCGTGGGATCAGTTCTGCAAGCCCTTCCCGGCAGCCACTCGGTGGAACAGCGGAGGGGCGAAGGGGAAGCGAAACGATGAGGAAATGAGATGGGCTGAAAAAGCCTCTCCCGTCCTTTCCGTGGGGCAACTGGAAAAGCTACGTCGTTTGGGTTTCGTTTCGTTCAGGGCGTGTTGGACGAGTTCGAGACGTGATTGGCGTGATGTCGACGACGGCGTTGGAGTTTTATTTTTGCGGGGAACTCAAACTGTACGTGATACCCACCCTCTGAAAAGATCTGAAAAGTATGTAATTTGTTGCCTGAAAGCAAATATGTGCACACATGTTTTCCACCAACACTAGACTAGTTTCAGTGCCGCGCCTACCAACTCTTTCAAGTGCTTTGAGCATCCCCATCGTGCTTCCAACTCTTGAGGCATCCCCCCAACCCACTAGCGATGGCCTCCAAGCCCAATGCTTTGAAGGCCAGCATCGCTCCAAATCTTGTCCACCCCGTCCAGGACGCCAAAGGCTTGGCGACGAGGCAATCGAGCAGCGAATGCTTGAACTTCATGGGGAAAGGCGCGCGCGTGGCCCGTTTCGGCGGTGACATGATGAAGACCGGTTTCCACCCCGTTGCGGTCGTCCGGTTGGATTCCTTGAAATAAATAGGCTGTATAGCGCATTATAGATTTATGTTTAATGTATAGGATGCGTTTTTTAATATTATACAACACATTCATTTTGCATCATATCATATCCAATAAAATAGGATCTATAGTCTAGGGAGTCCTGTCAGACAACCACCTTCAAACTCAGGTCTTTCGACGATCCGAGGGCTTCATCGCATATCTGCGTGTCCTGTCTGGAGATCCCTAAGTAGTGTAGAAGTAGTCCTGCCAGGACGCCCAAGTCAGCATGGATGGTCCAAGTATCTTTTTTCATATATGATCTCCAAATACCAGCACCAATAGACTACGGGGTCTCCAATCGACTAACCCCTACCACTACATCCGTCACTACACTCCGGGATCTCCTTTTCTTCGCACCCCGACATGAAGGTCGAACTACCCAACCTCCGAATTGGTCGCGCCACCACTCGCCCCAGTGGATCCACCCCCCACCCCGCGGTGTTTTTCCCACGCGGGGAGGCGTGCCTTGGTTGATGGGCGGCTCCGCAGATCTGGCGACCTCCTGTCTCACCACGAGCCTTGGTGAAGTGAATCTGCCAGGTGGTTCGAGCTGTGTTCATCCCAGACACGACGAATGGGACTGGCAGTCCGGACTGCCGATGAGTTTGGGGTGGTTGAAAAGGGGTAGTCCCATGGAGTGTCTGGGGTTGTTTGAACCTGTTGGGACAAAACGGCCCACTTCTTTTTTCGGTTCCGAGGTACCTGGCAGTTCCGGTTCCATGCACTGCTTTTGGGTTCGTCTCGAGTACTCCGCTCGAAGGCCGAACTGCGCAGCCGTTGGACCGTTGGATCCATGCGGATGATTGATCACCCAATGGCCCGAAGGAAACGACGGAAGGAAACGAAGGCATCCGGTTGAGAGGTTGAGAGACCTGAACGTTCGGACTCCTGTCGGTGGTACGTATGGGATGGGCGCCCGTCAGGCTGTTCAAGCTCGGATTCTGACTGATCAGATGCCAACTGATCATCTTGCATCGCAGGGCTGGACCGTGTGGCGGAAGAACTTCTTGTCTTTAGCTGATATTCTGGTGGGGCTGGACCTTCATTCATTCCTTTCTCGGGTGTGACAAGAGATCTCCCATGTTTGCAATTGCAATACGTTAACTTGAGTCTGTTTTGCTAGGAGGCTGTCATCTACCCCCAATGGAAAGCATCATAAAAGCATCTGAGTCCCCCTACAGGTGAGACTTTGTAGAGCGTGATCAGAAACCTGCCCTCCGAAGCCTCAGTTCTCAAACACCGCAGTCTTCCGCCTTGTGTGCTGTGCTGGGGAGGCTCCCCAACTGAGGTTGAAGGGCATGGACGATTTCATGCCACCAGCCAGCCAGCCGCTGGGGATGATTTACACGCCTTCGGGTGGTCCGATGGACTGCTGGACCTGTCTGGGAATTGCATATTATAGACTTACTGTATAGACTGTTCCCCCCAACTAATGTGGAACGTGTTTGCTGAACCGGGCTGGTTTTTTGATGTCCCAGAACAGCTCGTGAAGCTGCTCCGAAAAGCAAGCGCCAGATCAAGACGCCGCGAGCGACTGAGGTGGGGCCAATACGCAGGGCGTCCCTTGGGCTTGCCAGTTTCGGCCGCCGGGCCATCGGAGCTCGTTCACTGCAGGCGACCCCGAAGTCCGAATGTTTGGGAGATATGCAGTCAAGGATGAGATGCAGTTAAACATATTTAAATATCTGTCTGAGAATTTTTGAGAGAGATGCAGTTCAATGGATGTGCTGCGGAAGATGTGCTTTGAAAGTTCATGAAAGTTCAAGGTCCACAGAGTGCCAATGGCAGCCAGGTCACAGCAAAAAGAGGGTGACTTTGATGAGTTTATCTACGGCTAACGGCGGTTAAACTACAGAAAGTTATAATGATTTTAGCAACAACATCTCAGTCAGGAGAGCACCCCAAAATCCGTGTGTTTTTGTTGGGCTCGACCGACCAGACGGCCTGGCCGGCCGGGCCTCGGCATGGGTGTTGACTAAGGAAACCTCCATTTTGGGATTCGAGAACATGCCATGGGCTCCATCATGAACGGCTTGGCCCTCTGCAAATTGCGGCCCTTCGGGTCCACCTTCTTAGCCACCTGGCGGAAGTGGCGGGAGAAGTGGCGGAAGTGGCGGGAGGTGTGAGAAAGGGAGCCAGAGGAAACATGGAAGAACCTGGTGGGAACAGCCAGGAAAATCCATCAATTCGATGTGTTGATGCAGCCCCCCCTGCGCAGACAGTATCTTGGTTCATCCGTCGACATTCATCTGACAGATTGATCTAGAGTCAGGAAATGTTGGTCTGCGACATCTACAGAAGGATCCAAGATGATCATGATGGATGGTAAGAGAGAGAAAGTGTGACGTTCCCAGCATCAAAAAGAAGCCGGCGAAGAGTTTCTGTTGATGGATCTGTGCTGAAGCGCGCTTCAGCCGGCGGAAAGTAAACTGGTCCATGGAACGAAAGACAATGAATGAAATGGACCAGTATTTTAATCAAGTTTCTCGGATCTTTGCTTCATTCATTCTTGTGGGTGGAAAGTTGAGGATCTGTGGGTGTGAGATCAGTCACAGCATTTGTCGGTGCAATTCGTCATTTTTTGCACCGCGGTGCTTCCGACACAGAACACCCCAGTCACGCCCGGCCACAACGACGACGCAACACGAACCTCTCCTCTTGCTTTTCTGAGGTCTTTAGCGACTATATGAGACCGCCAATTCGCTTAGCGTCCATCATGGAGATGCCCTGCATCTTTATCTTCACCCATGATTCCATAGGCGAGGGCCGCGAGCGCCGAGCGCTTTCTTTCACCACCCGTGTTTGGTCGAGTGAGTTTGGGGATGAGGGGATCCCCTCGTCGGCGAATCCGGGCTTTGCAAAGGGTAACCCATATGACCTTTGTGTTTTTGATAGGAAAAGACATGAAAAGACCATAATGTGTTGACTCCCAGCTTCTGGGTAGTCCTTGCTTCGGGTTCAGCGGAGAACTGCTTCAGCGAATCACTAGACGACCTGTGCACGCAATCCAACCAAATACCCATGGACCTTGCCTGCACAGGGTGAGTCCCTCCGTTATGCCTTCACCACTCCCAGACACCACCTGTCTGGGACTGTCAGGACGGACTGCCGGTCACCGGTCGACCCCCCCAAAACCACCACCGCTGGCTTTTTCAGTCCGTCCTGGCCCCACCAGGCGTGTTTGGGACTGGTCGAATTCTGTTGCCGGTGTTGTTTCACCAGGCGTGGGAGAAGATGGTCCCACCCATCAACCAGTGGAGCATGTGGGCTGTTTGAGAGCTTTGGCAGGTGGAAAGCGGAAGGAATGTGGGCCCGAAACTACAGGGTTTTCCACCAAACGGTGTGTGTGTGTGTGTGTTGTGTTTTGATCCATTTTCGTGGTTGTGTTTTGCTTCATGTACATCCAAAACTGTTGCGCTGGTGGAACATGAAACTGGGTTTCACGGAAACACACTTTAGTCTATAGTGATGGGTCCTGTTTAATGACAAATAATGTTTGATTCCCGAATGCGTAGCGAAGGGTTCCCGTTTATAGTTGGGGGTCTGGGGGTTGGACCTGTGTTTGCATGGCTTGCGTCGTGTCGTCGTCTCTCGTCGTCTGTCGTCGTCTCTCGTCGTTTGTCGTCGTTTGTCGTCGTCGTCGCGTCTCAAATTTGCTGCCATTGGGGGAAGCTTTTGCAAGTGACTTTGCATGGATGCGTCACGTGTCAATTTGCGCCGCTATTCCATTGTGATTTGCATGACACCGACATGTCGCGCAAGAAACGTGCTGGAGCAATGTTTTATAAAGGGTTTAATTAGGAATTGGTGGTTTTGGTCAGCTGTCAGTTTTGCTTTGCTGCTGGCTGCTTGCCTGGAAAAGGAGGGGGGAGTGCAGGTGGACAGGGTTCAGAAGGAACTCAAACCCTTATTAAGTAGGTTTCCAATATAATATAACAAATTTAGGCCCCCAAAAAAAGTTAGCATTATTCAGGAACCATTTTTCAAACATGGGGTCTGGAATAATTTTGGAAAAAATTAGCATTATTGCGGAACCATTTACTAATCAGCATCCAACATTATGTCACGCAGCCTGCCAGGTCAAGAACACGTTCATCCACCTTACGGAGAAGTCCGAGTCGAAGGTGGATGCAACTCGGCGCGCAGCAATACCTTTCGAAAGATATTATATGTTTCCACAACAGTACCGTATAGGAACCCATTTTTTTTTGAGGATTTTTGTTCACGAACTATACAGTAACAACAGTACCCTTAGCGGAACCGCCAGTGGCTTGGCCTGTCTCGGTGGTCCCCGTATCAGTAACACCACCCCAGGACATGGAGGAGGACGGCACCAGTGAGCGCGCGGGTTTAGGTTTTCAGCCCCCTGCACAGGCAGGGTATTCGGTAGACCCTCATGCCGCCATGGCGGATGCTCCGGCGCCTTCTACACCTCCAGTGCGAAACCAAGTCCCTGAGCCTCCACGACCGAGCAAGCGGCCGACTCCGCAGCCAATGGAGGAACCTACATCCAAGGCACCTACACTGCCGGGCTTCACGCGGGCCACGGGGTCGGCCTCCTCTTCGATCCCCATGCCTATCCGGTTCACACCAGTCACAGGCGCAGCGTTTTGTGAGATCCGCAGATTGCTGCGCAATTCCATTGGGATTGGCGTTTGGAGGGTCGTGTTTTTGGGGTATTGGATGTGGCCGTGCCATTGGGATTTGCGTTTCAGGGTGTGGCATCGAAGCTCGGTTTTCGTGACAAGTCTCAGCTGAAATGGCGATTTTGGTGGATGGGAGTGTGCTCTGAACGGGTCGAAATCATTCCAAACGTGTGGTGTGGTGCAAATTTTGTTGAAGCTCACATGCGATGATATTGTCACTTTTCGTGGCAGGCGCAGGACTTCGTGCGGGCTTTGAAGCGTGGAAGTGCGATTCTCGTGGTGTGAGGTTGCAAGGTGTGAGGGAGGTGACATTTCGTGGCAGGCGCAGTACTTTGTGCGCGTTAGACGTGTGGATGGGGAAAGATTCGTGGCAGGCGCAGGGAATCCTGAGGTTGTGAGCTGTGGTAGAGGTGAATGTCGCTGTCACATTGGCATGTGAGCGGATGTTGTTTGGAGGGGCTGGAATCGCGAAACTGCTTGGCAGGGCTGCGTGATGTGTGTGCTCCGATGGGTGTTTCCGCTTGACTTTTGGAGGAAGTCTCGCGCGAAACGCTCGTTTTGCAGACTTGGACGTGTGAGTTTTTGAGAAAGTCTCGTGCGAAACGCTCGTTTTGGAGACTTGACGCGCAACCCTCTGCGGAGATCGTGCGTGTCGAGTGTGCGAAATGCAGGCGAGAGTGCGATTTGTCCCATGCGCGCGCAACCCTCTGCGGAGATCGTGCGTGTCGAGTGCGCGAAATGCGAGAGTGCGATTTGTCTGGTGCCCGCGCAACCCTCTGCGGAGATCGTGCGTGTCGAGCGCGCGAAATGCAGGCGAGCACTGGCGACTTTGTAGTACAACTTTAGTACGCGGGGTATCTGGGGAG